AAAATCATTAAACTACATCTAACTTGGTTAAATATAATTGTGACACTAAATCGAACTAAAAACACTAAAATTTGCTCCGATGATAGAATCAACAATCAAAGAACAACTGATAAAACTACCGACTACGACTTAATGTGTGTTGGGCCTGTCCAACCACTAGGTGAGTGAGGCACTCACTAGGGTTATGCCTCACTCACCCAAGTATCTTGCTCTGATACCAAGTTGAAACTTGAATAATTGTTTGTTAAGGTTAGGCAAAAGAAAGAGGAGAAGAATAGAGAAATAAAGAGAGTATGAAACAATATTTAGGTTGTATGTTGGCAATACCCTATCACCTATTTATATTATATTGATATTGAAGATAATTACAATATTAGGAAAGTAGAACATAATAGGAAAACCATGTATTAAATGAAGATCCAAATTTGTTTGATGTTGATAAGACTAAGTGTTTTCCTTGACATCTTGTTACTAATAAGCAAGTTCCGAAAGGTGTTTCCATGATATGGAAGTGCTATTTTTTCTCCACCAATTTGCATGTTTACTGACTTAATTCATTTAGTGCACGCAAGATTGGGATCATTATAAAGAGACAAGATATTGTTTTGTCCCAATGTGATTTTCAGTACAACTCTAGAAGAGTGTTTTTCTCAGCCAGTGAAAACAAATTATGAACCTAAAGGAGTTGGATGGAACTTAGTTTGATTATGATTGGTTATATTACTCTTTGTTGGATTAGTTAATTAGGAAATGTTTATGTGACCAGGTATATTAGTTTAGTAGAAAGGGTGTTATTAGGAATGTAATCTAGTTTTTTGTCGGACAATAGATTATTAGAGGGATAATGAAGTTTATTGAGAATTTGGTTGACTATTTGTATATCTTAACCTAATCTTTGCAAGAGTTGAGGTAAACCTCTTTTTTACGATAACTCTCATTTTGCACTTAGGGATGTGCATTGTTTTGATGGTGAATTTGTTAATATGTACCTTTGCTCTATGCGTAATTTAAAAGACAAGTATTACTATGATCTTCAGTTTTTGTGTGTCTTCAATGCTTATTGGTAAAGGTATTCTGATAATTGGCATAATTTTGTGTCACACATGAATCATGTTAGGTGAGTTTGAGGTTTAACATGTTGAAGATTGAAGAATATCAAGTCAGATGACATTAATATTACTTAAAGAGATTGAAGAAGATCAAGTCAGATGACATTAAGATTACTTAAAGATTGGATTGAATATTTATGAAGAATTCCAAGCAAAACTTAATGTCAACCAGACACTAGTTATGTTGGGTAAGTTGACCTATATACCTTAGTTGACTATGATCTCAATCGTTAAGATTGATTTAAGAGTTGATTTATGTGATGTATACTTAGCATCATATTTTGAGTATGAACAATGTGCTTTTTAATGCAATTCAGGCTTAGGTATAGATCACAATCAAGCAATGCTTCAGCAGGCCCGACTTAGGTCATTTGGACTGAGTTCGGATGGGTTTCAATTGTTGGTGCTCGCTTGGTGCTCAAGGTTCGCTTGAGCAAGGCTTATAGTAACAGGATTTGATAAACTGTTGGGGCTTGCGCTTGGCTTTTGATCACTTGCCATTAGATGCGTTCGAGCGATTGTGGCGTATCAGAATTCTAATTAAGCTAGGAAACCTTCCAAATTCGGATTTAGAGCTTGTCATTATGTATATCTGATTGTAAGCCATCTTTTGATGACCTAGAAGCCTTTATAGAGATTAAGGGACAGACGTAAGAGTGATCTAAACTTAGAGCACACTTTTTGTTCTTCAAACTTTCAAATCTAAAAATGTTCTAGAGATTTTTAACTAGAATTTTGTGTTTTAAATCTTGTGAGCTTTAAATGTTTTAGAGATTTTGACTAGAGGTTTTTTATTAGAGATCTGGTGTTTTAGTCACTCCATAGCTTCAAAAGAATGGGTTTCTTAAACTCTATCAATCTGAAAATTGCCTTGAAGTTTTCTAGAGGAATTCAAGGATCAAAGGAAGACAAGTCAACAATCGTTTTCAGGAAGGGAGTGTGATTTGAACCTTTACTAGAGAAGCCAATGTTCTAGGAGTTGAATGGGAAAAGCGAGTTCGTTGGGAAGAATACGAGACAAGAGGATAGCTTACATTGCCCCTCTTGTTTTTACCCTAGTTGAGGTTTTCCATGTAAAAAACCATGATGCCTTTCTTGCTTGCTTGTCTACTTCATATTGTGAATTTGTGATTGTTTGGTGAATGTTTGTTTAGGTCAAGACTTTTTTTGAATTGATTGACAAATTGAGATAAAACCTATTCACCCCTCCCTCTACCATCTAGGTCGATTTAGGGTCTACTAATACATCAATCCGTGCAATCTCACTTATCTGTTCTAGGGAATAACAAGCTATTAAGTATATTGGAAAAGAAAATTTCTGATTCTCTTACCTTTGTTCATCATGTGCTAGAATACTTGCTCCTATGTTGACAATCCATATAAGCCCATTGTGTACCTTCGAATCTTTCTTCCTATAAATGCCTACATTTTGTTAGTGATGTTTTCTTTAAATGGTAAGAAAGTAGTAGGATACATTTTTGTTTTAAATTAAAACTATCTTATGTTTAATTTCGTGTGTTTTTGTCAGAGATGAATTGTTTTAGTGTTGACTCATGTTGATTATTGATTTCCCAGGGATTGGTTAAGACCTGGTGAGGAAGATCTTGTCCAGAGGTTTGACCCATCGTCTCCACTTGATACAATTGGGTTTTTCATAGCCAAGTTCGATGTTGGACCAAAAGAAACCTGACTTACTTTCAGAAAATATGCAAACTTTGCTTTGGGGCTGCTAATTTTTGGCAATGTTCCCTGGTAGAAAAAGTATTTTGGGAGTATGATAAAGCTTCATAGTTTCAGTTTTAGTACTTCAGGTTCTGGTGAAACTCACCTTGTCATAGGTGAAGCTGTCTTTGGAAAGCCAAAACTTCAGAGTCCTATTAACTCTTTTAAACTATTACTAATGTTTTATGTATTATTGTGTGATCAATTTTAATATATTGTGTAGTGCAAGATTTTTCACGAACAGATTGTTCAAAAGCTCAAGGATCGTTGTTGTTGGCAAATGTTGTTCAACCATTTTTTATCCTGTTTCGATATTTGTCTGCAATGTTTGTTTGAAACAATAACTTGACATATGGTAAAATTACTATTGCTGTTAGAAGCACAGCACTGCTTGGTCTTTTATCTTCAAATTTAATTGTATGTTTTGTTTGGTCATATTATTTTATTGTTAACTGCACAGGTGGAAGATATCCTCGTGATTGTCCAATAGTTACTATGGCAATCAAGTTATATATTATGATGGCTGAATTCCTTATCTGATGCCTTGGAATTTTTACAGGCCTTGAACTTTTGACTTCCTGCAGAAATTTTCCAGGTCAGTCTTGACACACTTTCTTATGTCCACGATTGTAATATTCTTCTTTCATTTTGGAATGCAAAAATGGAAATTGGTTTCCTGTCATGCTGCTTGTGTTGAGACGTGTCCAGGTTCATTGCGACTGCCAAAAATACTTGGGTAAGGAGAGGGAAGGAGAGCTTGGTTTCAGAAATCAAAAGTTAGGCGTGCTTTGGGAGGGAATTCTCAACAAGTTGTGTTAGCAAGCGCTATCGCAACGGGACCGAATAGGTCGGTCAAATCGGTTGAATCGTGAATTCAGACCTAAAACAGTTCAATTATTTAGATTGCTTAAGGAATTAAATTGATTGGGAATTGTGAAATCGGTTGGTTTTGGACGCGAACTGTGAATCAGAAGGTTGGGAATTTAAGTCAAAAAAAATTAGAGGTAATCTGTGCTTAAAGATACGGTGTAATTTGAATGATTTTAAGATGGATGTTAGTGGCCATTCGATGAGTATATTTGAAATCGTCAGATAGATTTATTAAAGTTTGTATTTTTTTATATTGTAAAATATTCTTTTTAGGTATTTTTCCTAGATCTGTAAATCAATTCGTAATTTAGGCTGTTCAGCAATCAATCAGGCGATGAGTGGCAGCTCAGGCGACTTTCTCCACTTGATTTCTCTCACATCGTTTCTTTGATTTAAGCGAGAAACAACCTTGAAGGCATAGTTTCAGAGGGAGAGAGAGAACAAAGAGCCAGTGGAGTTTCAGAGGGAGAGAGATAAAGACAATGAGGCGATGGAGTTCGAGGGACGAGAGATTTGTCTTTGAAATTTGGATTGCATAGGTCAAGTTAAAATCAATCATAGCAGTTCATCTAGGGTGGGGGTGAATCAAATAGGTGGCGGAAATTAAAAGACAAAGCAAAATTTGAAAATTGAAATAAATGTTAATTTTTTGGCAAATTGTATGTATTGTGAACATATTTATATATTTTTAGTAAAATTATTTTGTATTATAATTTTTTTTTTTATTATACGACCGGTCTGATTAGTTGACTTAATGATTGAACTAGTGAATTATTGATCTAGATTTTTTTCCGATTCAATATCTGGTCCAATTCTAATAACTATGGTATTAGCATACGAATTTGTCTTTCAGCATACAAGGACGTTATTTCAAATTGACAAGTTCTTTCTAATTTTCTGAGTAATTTAGAGAGGCTTCTATACTTAAAATTCTTTGAAGACACAAACAGCTCGTGTTGAAATTAAAAACTCCAAGTCAACAGCATAAAATACTGTTGTTTCCTCATGGAGGTTGCTGCTCAGCATACAAATTGAGAATGGTCATATTCAAAGGGAGCTAAAAGAATGCTGACTATAGTCCCAAAAATACCCCTCAAAAGCTTAAGCCTTTCATTTGGTCTCTTCAAAGCTTAAAAATCTCATGACCCTGACTATAGTCCCAGTCAACGTGTTTTTTTCCTCAATTTTACCATAATTTTTTGAATAAATGGCCAAAAGGGGATACAGTATTAGAATCTATAAAAGTTCACGGTCAATATAAAGAAGGAGCACCTTCCGAAAAAAAAAAATATAAAGGAGCAAAGTGCAAATGTTATAGAAAAAAAACATCCAATGCCAGAAACATACCCCCCAATCAAAAAAAAGAAAAAAACTTGATCCCATTAAGTATACCCATTGAAAGTGTAAGTATGCGTATATTTTTCTAATTTTTTTTTCAAGAATTATTTACTATTTTCATAATCATCATGATCCAAGTTTGAGTTTTAGGATCATAAACATGATATGATGGTACCCTAGTTTTGTTTCTTTTTAATGAATCAAAGAATTACATGGTTAGTTGTCCTGCCACAAGCCACCATAAGCTATTTCGTCCGAGGAAACTGCATAGTAGGCATGAGAATACTCTTCAAGATCACCCAATTCGTGCATTTCAACCATCTCCTCCATGTATGTACCTGGGTTCCCAACGGTCGGTTCGTTGCATGGCATTGCGGTTGCTATTTTCATCATCTCTAACCAATCGAAGTCATCGACACGGGTGTCAACTTGCTTCCAATAATCACAAGCCTCCATGGTCGAATCTGGCTTGACGCCAGCTTCCACAGACTGATCCGTGAAACCAAATCCGTTATCCTCCGTTCCTACCTCCGGCCCTTCAAGTAACTCCCTAAGTAGGGCTTCATGAAATTCTGTAATTTCAAGCTCTTCGAAGTCACCAATATTAGTAAAAGATTCAGAATCTCTAGGCAATTGTGAGGCCATTTTGTTAGGAAAAACAAAGAAAAAGGGGAAGAAACTGAATGGCGAAGGGCGCGAAAACAAGGGAAAATAAAGAGAGTAAAGCAAATGTTTGTTGAGTAGAACGTGTGGGAAAGGATATGGTTTATAGCAATAAAGTTCATGAAGCATAGGTCTTAAATAAGCACATTGTAATTGCCACGAGGATAAAATATGAAAAAGAAATGTACCTAATTTTGCTGAAAAATAGTACAAAAACATAAAGGCCGTGAAGCATCAACTAAAGCTTTGAATGGGCTAGGAAGTTTTACTTATCCGGCACCACTTGTAGCATTGAATATCGGCCAAAGTGATACTGATACACATACAAGTAGGGTATGCTTCTCTCTTTATGGCATCGTAAGGGATAACGACATGTTTGGTTACACATTTTATTGTGTTTCGCGTACAACACTGAGTATTCATTTTTTTTAGTTACTTATTTTAAATCGGTATAAAATTACCTTTAGAACTGATATATGAGTCTGATTTGCCTATAACTCACACTTACTAGTTTTTGAATGGTTGCTTTAACATGGCATCACATTTGTGAATCTTTGAAAATTCAAGCCTAGTCTTTGTTGAAGATGCCCTAATTTTGTTTGTAGATAGCAATGCACACGTTCATATTTTATGTATGCATATCTATGTGTTGGTTTGTACCTCCCTATTCGAAAAAACAATGGTTTTAAATAAAATTTTTTAAGCAACTTGAGGCTTCAAAAAAAGTGAGACTTACACCTCGAAATTTGTAAGACTATGTTTAAATGCGTTCTCCTCTGTGAGGAGATTAACTTGGCATATTTATTTGTGATGAAAAATTATGTCTCAAAGTGACTCATTTGAAGTGATGAAATAAACTAAAATTGGTGTAATGGAATAAGACTTGTCCCACTTTAGAAGAAGATCAACACTTTGGTGAGTTAATATATTCCTAGTTGGCTTCATTACCTTGATTACCACACGCGCGCCGCCTCGCCCCGACCATGGCCCGGCTGGGCTTGGGCTTGGACCAAAAAGGTATAATTTTTTAAGACAAAATTCATTTGGTGCAGCACGGATTGTGAGTCAATTCGAACGGTCCAGTCCACGGATCGGTCTCTGCCTTCCAAAAAAATTTAAAGTCCAACCAGATTTTAAATTTTATTCCCGTTAAATTTAAAATTGGCGCCGAATTGAAGAAAACTATGTATTTGTTCCAAAAAAGTACCTTCTATCTTTGTGGTTGATCGGATTAAAAGAGTATATCTATTCAATCCAAACAATGACAATCCATGTCTCTTTAGGCAATCTCAACAATCACCGAGAGTCTATAAGTAGACAATCTTTTAACTATTTCAATCCATTCCAAAAATCCTGCAGTCTTTATTTAGATTTTTCTACTTTCTATCTTCTTGCATTACATTTTTGTAAAATTCATGTATAAAACACAAGTTGTGTTCACTTGTATTTGGAGATTGAAGTGCTACTTCTATAAAGACGTAATCCGTTCTATTTTGGAAGGTTAATTGCTCATAAACCTTGAGCAGCGAGAGGGAATAAATCTATTTTAAGAATATTATGTTTCACAAGGTTGAGATTGAATATTCTGATTTTCTTATTTTACTATTCATGTAGATTTGCATTCGTGTGTGAATGTACTGTTGTTGGTTATTATACATTCTATTTAAATTAATGCATAAGTTAAATTTTATAGGGTTTAATATTATCAAATTATATATCTATTTGTCGATAACAGTCCCTTCCATGGATGTGCAGGGGTTGGAGACCGAGAGACGGGTGCTGACAGCATGATAACATTATAGACTCACTTTCCAATAACAGCTTGAGCTTTTTGAGTAATTGTATTCTGACATAGTATCCAGTAGGGCTTCCGAAGGCTTGGTCAAAGTTTTTTTTTTTTTTTGTTTGGGAGAATTATATTTAAGCCCCTAAACTTTGTTACTTAATTATTTAGATTTCTTGACATTTAAAATATTACATACAAATCCCCTGAAGTTTGTACGCGTATAACACGTAGACCTCTGTTTTGTAAATATATCACTTAATAAATTATATTTAGACCCCTTGAAATTTGTAAGTATATAATACTTAGACATTTTAAGTTTAAAATATTATACTTAGACAAAAAATATTCTAATAAAAGATAGAATATCAAATATTTTAAATTTTACAACCAAAATTTGTATTCTATTGTATCATTTATTGAAATAAAATTAAAAATAAATTTGGTCATAATTTAATTTGGTCATTTAAACGACCAAATTAAAATACCAAATTACCCCAATTAAAGATAAAAGATATTGTGTCTATTACAGTTTGACCCATTGTTTAATTTTTTTAGTTTTATTCTAATAGATAGTATAATTATATATTAATTATGATTTTTTTAAAAAAAATTATATTTTTAATTTTGATTTTATTTCAATAAATGACATAATAGAACATAAATTTTGGATGTAAAATTCATGTTCTATTATGAATGACTTAGACCCCTTGTTTGATTTTTTAGTTTTATTCTAATAGATAGTATAATTGTATACTAATTATGATTTTTTAAGAAAAATTTAAAATTTTATTTTTAATTTTATTTCAATAAATGATACAATAGAACATGAATTTTGATTATAAAATTTAAAATATTTGATATTCTATATTTGATTGTTGTATTTTTGGTATAAGTATAATATTTTAAACTTAAGGGATCTAAGTATTATATACCTACAAACTTTAAGAGGTTTACGTATAATTTATTAACTATATATTTAACGTGCGCACAAACCTTAGGGAGTCTGTGTATAATATTTTAAATGTCAGGGAGTCTGTGTGATTAAGTGACAAACCTTAAGGGACCTGAGTATAGTTCTCCCCCTTTTTTTTTCGGTGGGAATTCTATTAATTGAGTTTTCTTATTTATCTTATCTCTAATTCTATCTTCTGATTCTTCTATCTATCTAACTCTATGTACACGTGGAATCATGACCGAGAGAATTATTAGAGAAATCTAATATCAAGATAATATTATCGCTGTGTCCGAATCAATTTTGAATTGATGCTTTAAAATGTTTATCTAATCAAATAACGTTGGATAGATCGCCGGGACATGAGAATGGAGAAGTGTTGGGTAAGGGCAGTACGTTCGGCTTTTTGCAACTGTAGGAAGCCTGTTGAAACAAACATTGCCGATTGTTTAGCACATGGTGACACTGGAATTTGGTGGCACATGCATGTGCTGTGCCGTCACATGTTTCACGTTGCATAATTCTTCGTCTCTACTGTATACGGTTCGGCAGATATTCGTCCTTCAAAATTTCCTAACAAACTAATTTGGCAAATTAGTTGGGTAATTGTACCAAAAACTTAGAATTAAATCACGTTTTTTATTCTTCCCGAAACAAGATTGATGAGACATTTCCAAAATACTCCGAGATGAAGACACGTGTTCTCGGTGTCATTAATCCTTGTTATCGAGATCACGTACCCATCGGATCACAAGTCCCCTCTCCCCCGAGGTACTGATCATGGGGATCGAGTGGCATCCAGTACGTTTATATGTACCGACACGTACCCTCGGTCTGATATGGTACATCGGTCGCTAGGTCTCCCCCTCTCGGATTCAAGATGTACTTATTCCTCGGCTCCGAGATGCACCTATTCCTCGGCTCCCAGATGTACCTCTTCCTCGGTACCGAGATGTACCCCCCTCACCCAGGATGAAGTTCTCTGCTCCAGCAGAGACTATTGATGCACTAGTCACTAGCCTAGGCTAGGCTAGATTAGCTATCATGACCTCGTCTTACTCAATTGGTGTCAGAAGACACAGGAAGGCAGGGGTCACAGCCAATGAGGAATGGACGCGTGGCATATTGTGTCACATCAGAGACAGAAAGACCGCATGACCTTGTTGACACGCAACTTGAGAAAACAAGCATTTAATTACATCATTCCCTTGATGAGACTGCATTCAATGCGGTAAGGCTCGGAAGTAAAAGACAATAAATGTCTCTAAGGTTGGACATTTATTGCATCCTCCCCGAGAGGAACTCATTGAACCGTTGGCAGGCCGATGACACAGTCTTGATTGGTCGGGGTCCCGAGTAGTTAAGAGAGAAGACATTCCTCATAGGAATCAGTGCGCACGTTGCATGTATCTAATGATCACCTACTGACCACACTGACAGCAATTATGAGTATTTGAGGTATAAATACTCCTCACTAAAGGCAAGGAAAAGGAGGTGAAAATTTTGCTACAAATTATACTCAGTGTTTTCTTCTTCCTCTCTCTCAAAAACTGACTTGATCGTCAGAGGGGATACGCCAAAAAATACTCCGGCGCCCTTCTAACTTGTTCTTCTTTGTTTCAGAAACCTTTCTTCAGCCTTACTGGATCGTTCCTTTGATCCGCGAGGGTCTCCCATTACCGTTTCAGGTTACCACCGGATCTNACAGAACAATGGCTCAAACACTGTGCCGTGTATATGGACTCACAAGATACTACATTTTGGATTCCTTCACCTTCAGTTGTAATTTGGTTGGACAAGATAATACAAGAAAGAGACGCCTCAACAAAGTCTTTGAAGGTTCAATTACACCAACGAAATTCTACAAAAGTACAANAGGAGAGACATGTTCTCATTTTTATATTGTGCAAGATCTAGCACGCACAATCTGGCACCGTCTGTAGAAAACGACTAGTTTTCCTAGTTTTTTCTCTATAAATAACAGTGACCATGGTGAACACTCGACAAAAAGGGAAAGGTCCCCACCAAAGAAGTCTCGAATTACAAGCTCCCTGTCACCATGAAGGGAGGGATCACACTGATGGGAATAAAAATACCTCTACTCAGTCAAGAGGGGTTACCCCTCAAACCAGTATGGGAATCAGGTCAGGGGGATCAGCCCCCTTGGCTCGTCAACTGGCGGAGGTGATCGAAGAAAAGTTTGGCGATAGATTACGACAGCTGAAAAAGGACAATATAAACGTCCTAAGCCGGCTCAACGAATTTGCCGCCTCCGGCGAAGGGTCTAGGGACTCATTCCTTTCTCGTGGGTTCCCCGCCCGGGATGCGAAAACAAAGGATCTAAAGAATCATTTAAA